GACTGGAATAGAAGAGAAGAGAAATGGAGGTGATGTTGAGGATATTTTAAGTATGAAATTTGGGAGGAGAGGGAGCTGGCTTTTGTATGGCCTCCACTTTTTCCTTAGAGTATGGGAAAGGGCACACTATTGAGAGGCTGGAGGATGGTTGTGGGTAGCTGAAGAGAGGAAGGAAGGTTTGGAAACTCCCCTCTGGAGAATGCAACAGAGAGTCAGCCATGGAAGAGTAATGGGATTGCTGCGCAATAGTGAGAGCCCAGTTGAGATTGAATGGCACAGATTTGTATGGACTCAGTTTTTAAGGTGATTGTGCATTCACCCACATGGGTGCATTAAATAGGGCTGGGATTTGGAAAACAATGAACAACAATAGACATTTCCTCATGTCTTCCTCACTTCTGAACCCCTTACTGCACTCTCCAAGTTACTAGCCCTCTGAAAATCGCTGTATGTGTTGGCTTTTTCTCAGTTCTCACCCTTCCTGACTTCCTTTTCCACGCCCTTCCTCTCCATTCTCCCTCAGCTTTGTCATACTCTTCTCTCCTGGTTCCATCCTACCTGTCTGAAGGTCTTTTTCCTCCCTTTTAAAAGTGTCATTAAGGCTCCCTCCATTTTTCATTCCTGTCACTTTCTTATGATGCCTTCCCCTACCCTTCTTGTAACATATAATATGTTGTAATATCATTGTACATACAACATACTTATATGTTGTAATAACATGTTTGTAATAAATTGTTTTTGTATTGCTCAGTCATATTTTCAGTTGTATCCAACTCTTTGTGATCCCATTTAGGGTTTTCTTGGCAAAGATAATGGAATGGTTTGTCATTTCCTTCTCCAGCTCATTTGACAGATGAGGAAACTGAGGCAAAGAGGGTTAAGTGACTTGCCCAGGGTCACACAATTAGCAAGTGTCTCAGGCCAGATTTGAATTCATGAAAATGAGTCTTCTGACTCCAAGCTTGACACTGTCCACTAGCTGCCCTTATAATGAAAACAATCAAGCAAAACCAGTTGGCCAATGAAGGGCCTTTATTGTCTCCTTATCCCCTCCCATCTCCCAACCATGGATATCTCCCTAGGCTTTGTCAGGGGCTGTTTTCTCTTCTCTGTGTACCCCATCTCTGTGATCTCATCAGCTTCCATGGGTTTGCTTGTAATTTTTATAGAGATGGCTCCCAAATCTCTATATCCAATCATCATATCTCTGCTAAATTCTAGCATCACCTTTTAGGAGGATAAAAGTCATGATATTATCTTGGGCATCTCTAAAGGGTAGAATGGCAAGGATCTAACAAAATCTCATTAGTGACCATGAAAACTAGATTTCAGAGGATCCCAGGGTTTAGAGCTGGAAGAAAATTGGCCTCTCAGTGCAGGCTAAGGATTATGCCTTCATTGTACAGTTGAGGCAAGTGGAAGTCTTGGAGAGAGGGAGGAGGTAATTACACTTGTGTAAGAACACAAAGGTAACATTGTAAGAAGCACAGTTAGAATATGAATCCGTTTCCTTTGTTCTTTTTTTTTTTAGGCAGTTGGGGTTAAGTGACTTGCCCAGGGTCACACAGCTAGTGTCAAATGTTTGGTCTGAGGCCGGATTTGAACTCGGGTCCTCCTGACTTCAGGGCCGGTGCTCTATCCACTGCACCACCTAGCTGCCCCCTTGAATCCATTTCCTTTGAATCCAGATCAGGGAAGCTTTTCCTATATCTCAGGACCTCTCTTTAGAAAGTATTTTCCCTACTGCTTGGTTTGACTCACTGTTGGCATGGGATTTATTCAATAACCATCATTAATACTAGAGAGTTAGAAGAATTGCCCACCAGTAGATCCCAGTAGTTTTAAACAGTTGGCCAAATAAATGCACTTGGAGGTTTGAAGTCATGATAAAATTAATTTGGGTGTGCTTAATGTTAGTATTGGCAATTTGCCATGATGTTCTGTTGAGAAAATGTTTAATGTTGCAAGATTTGTTTTCTTGCTCCACTTTTAAAATTAATTCCTTAATAGGATATGGTGTAAGGGGGACTGAACTTGGAAACAGAGTATCTGGATCTAAAGTTTGGTTCTGGAACTTCTGAGTTGGGTGGCTGTTGACAAGCAGTATATTCTGTGCTCTAGTTTGCCCTTCTGTGAAATGGGTTTGATGCCATTAGTTAACTGAGAGGATAGTTGTGTTGTTGGTCAGTAGTTTTTCAGTTGTGTCTGACTCTTCTTGACCCCATTTGGGGTTTTCTTGGCAGAGATAACTGGAGTGCTTTGCCATTTCCTTCTCCAGCTCATTTTACAGATGAGGAAAATGAAGCAAATGGGGTTAAGTGACTTGCACAGGATGGTTGTGAGGGGTTTGCTTTGAAATCATTACAAAACTACAGCATCATAGGATCATAGATTTACAACTGGTAGGGCCCTCAGAAGGGGCAGCTAGGTAGAGCGGTGGATAGAACACTGGGCCTGGAGTCAGGAAGACTCATCTTTGTGAGTTCAAATCCAGCCTCAGACACTTACTAGCTGTGTGACCCTGAACAAGTCACTTAATTCTGTTTGCCTCAGTTTCTTCATCTGTAAAATGAGCTGGAGAAGGAAACAGCAAACTACTCCAGTGTCTTTGCCAAGAAAACCCCAAAAGGGGTCACAAACAACGCAAGCAGAGGGACCTCAGAGGCCATCTAGTTGTATTCCCTCATTTTACAGATGAGGAAACTGGGTCACAGAGAGCTAAGTGATTTGCCCAGGGTCACGCAGGTAGAGATCAGAGATGAACCCAACTCCCTTGAATCTAAAACATATATAGATAGATAGATAGATAGATAGATAGATAGATAGATAGACAGATATAGATATATGTATATGTATATGTATAGATGTATATATACATATATATATATTTTTTTACTTTACCAAAGCTAACTTCTTATTTATTATTCTTATCCTTATATAATCCTTTTAAAGGAGGGGAACCAAATCAGCACCCCCCTTCTTTTGATTTGCTCAGAGGAACCAATTGGCAGCTTCCATCCTTGTGACTTTTGAGATAAAGCTGCAGGGCTCACCTCCTAGACTTGTGAAGAGGAAACAATTGACACTGTTTTTTTAATTCATGTTGTTTCTGAGACATTTCCTACTTCCTAGTAAAATTCAGCTTTCCCATGAGAACCATTTGCTCGCATGTGGTTCAGTTTGATAAATCTCAGATGAAATGCAGCAGGAAGTATTCCCCTGTGGCTCTAAGTTGGAAGGGAGAGAGGAGGGAAGAGAAAGTGGTTTGACTACTTTGAATGGCCAGCAGGGCCCTACACTTCTCTTGAAGATTAATATAGATAGACTCCTGGATTATGCTTGTCTCGGATGAAGCCTCTTTCTCGAAGGAGGATAAAATTCCTTTTAATCTCTGCCAAGTAGAGGCAACAGCCCTCTGAATTACAATGTTTTCATAAGTGTCTGATAAGTTACTGGGAAAAATAATTCACTGCAATTTAAAAGACATATGGCATGTATATCAGTCAGTCAATAAGCTTTTGTTAAATCCTTACTATGTGCCAGGCACTAGGCTGAGTGTTGGAGAAACAAAGTAGAAGCAAAAACAGCCCCTTGCTTTGAGGAACTTACCTTCTAATGGGAGAGACAACATGTAAATTAAAAGATATATGCAAGATACCTACAGAGTAGATGGAAGGGAAGCATAGAGTGGAAGGCTTTAACAGCTGGAAGGATTGGCAAAGGCCTCCTGTGGAAGGTGGGATTGGGGCCGAGTCTTCAAGTTAAATGAGAGGCAGAAGTGAGGAGGGAGAGTGCTTCTGGCATGATGCCAGTGCAAAGTTATGGAGTTGGGAAATTGAGTGTTGTGTGAAAGGGAGCAGGCCAGCAAACCTGGGTCAAATGGTGTGCAGAAAGGCATAAAGTAGAAAACTAGCGGGTAGGAAGGGCTTTAAATGTCCAATAGTGGACCTTATATGTGATATTGGAAGTATGCTGTAGTTTTGTGATAATGTCTCTGATGTTGAGAAATTGTTGTCAAGGTATTGTGCTTATGGAAATGTAAAGTGAAAACCGTAGGTCAGAGAAATGAAATTGATATTGTTGCTGTTAATATGTATTATTTATGTTACTTCTGACATGGGTGGTTCCCACATTCAGGGTGACTAGTTCATAAAAGAGGATGAAAAGCTATGCTCTTTTGAAACAAAGTCTAGAACATTGGCTTCCTTTTTTGTCCTGCCAGATGTTATGAAAAACAAAATCACTTGTCAGTTGAGTAGCTCCTTTAATCCAGAGAAAGGATTTCACAGCCCTACTGCTTGTGGTCTTTTCTACGAAACAGTTTTGACCTGGGTGGTTTATTTTGATTAATGCAGCAGGGAGGAGAGGTATTGCATTGTGGTTATGTTGACCTTAGGGTCAAGAAGACCTGGGTTCAGGTCCTACTTCTGACAAATATTGGCTATCATCCTAATGCAGAAATCTCTAAATATCACATCCTTTTCAATGCTATGGTACTTTGAATAGTTTGGGAACAGAAATTTCATTTAGCAAAGCCACAATAGCAAAAAAGAATTTTAAAAATTAAGTAGTTTAGATATTTAATTACCTGAATATTAAATGTACTTATTTCTATTAATTAATTTTATTAATGTTATATCTTCATAAAATTGAATTCTGGCCACATCAAGAGCTGAACCAAAGAGTTCCCTTGTTGTTGTTGAATCATTGTAGTTGTGTTGGCCTTTCCCAACCCTCAAACCCGAAAGCCCTAGAACTTGGGAGTTAACTAGCCATTTAAGGCACCTGTGGTTTTTTTTAAAATTAAACTATGGTCGACTGAAACCCATTAAGAAAATGATTTCTACCTCCAGACTGCAGCTAGTGGTCAAATCCAGCAGGATGACACTGTTCTACTGCTCAGACATTTTCATCTGTCTTCTTATCAGTGTGACGTGTGATGCATGAATAAGACAGGGAAGATGATCTGGAATGACCAATGATCTGTTTGCCTCTCTTAGGTCACCACACCATCTACATTGGGGTTCACGTGCCGAAGAGCTATCGCAGGCGGCGGCGCCACAAGAGGAAGACGGGTCACAGGGAAAAGAGGGAGAAGGAAAGAAACTCAGAGAACTATTCTGACAAATCCGATGTGGACAATGCTGATGAGTCAAGCACTAGTATCCTCAAACCACTCAGTGAGTACTTTTGGGGGACTGGCCTTTTTCTCCAGCCCTCTCTTAATCCTTTGGAAAGGCAGCCACAGAATCTTGAGGAGGCTGGCGATTGACTTCCTAAAGTTAGATTCTCCTGGCCTGCTAGAAGAGAGGAGTGCTTCGAGTTACTAGTATGCTGCTTTAGGAATTTATTGGGTAAGAATGCAAATGGAACAGAGGGTCTACTACTCAAATTTCGGTATCATGGCCTTTTCAAAATTCCATCCTCAATTAGGAGTGGGGTAGACTAGGTTGTTAGATGTAGGTGTTTAAGGGCAAACTTTTAATGGGAGATAACCAGGAAGATCTGAAGGCTCTTCTGACTACTTTTCACTTAGGAACCTTTGTGTCTTGGGCCAGCAGGCCCTGCTGGTCTTGCAAATAGATGTGGCTTTAAAATGGAGTAGTGCCAGGCTGAGGAGAACCAGATTTGGGAGGGAGGGTATAAGTAGTTCCAGGGATCTAGGCTTTGGGTCCTTTTGTTGGAACTGCTGTTTTAGACTCGTGTGTTCCGTGACGGTTAGCTAGCAAGGAGGAGAGAAGGGAAGGACACAGAATACCTCTGGGGACCTTTCAATTCGACAGTTTGACACTTCCATGTTTTTGTGATCTCTCTGATGATGGAATCCCCTCCAGTGATGCACATAGTCACTAATTCATCTATTCTTTTATTGCTGTGAATTGGTTTCAGTCACGTCTGACTCTCCATGCCTCCATTTTGGGGTTTTCTTGGCAAAGATACTGGAGTATTTTGCCATCTTCTCCAGCTCATTTTACAGATGAGGAAGCAGAGGCAAACAGGGCTAAGTGACTTGCCTAGGGTTACTCAGCTAGTACGTATCTGAGGCAGATTTGAACTTGAATCTTCCTGACTCTAGACCCAGTGGGCCATCCACTGCACCACCCAGCTGCCCCTAATCTCATCCTAGGTGACTCTTATTCATGTCTGTAAATCCTCCTCAAGAGTCCACCAAAGGTGCTAAGGATCTTCATCTAGATCTCTTGATGTTGCACAGGTATTAGTAACTTCCCCATTTCCTTTTCTGCTCATCCATTTTTTTGGTCACTCAGCCATTTCTTTGATAGTATTCTTGTACTGTTTCTCTTGGGCAATCATTTGTTGATAACACGCCGACACGTACTTCCCATAATCTTCATGCATGTGCTCACCATTGCCTTTGGAAAACTTTAATTCTTTGGAGATGGTCGTAATTCTACAACTCACACATAATATCAGTAAAGCAATGTTAATGTTAGAAAGATGGGCCTTTGTTTCAGAGAGATGTTTAGGACTATTAAAGCAACTTGCAGTTTCCACAAAGCAAATTCATCCTGTGCTTCAATTCTGGGCCAGTTCAGTGTGAATTTGCAGTATCTTGCTAGGTAAAGATATTGGTGCCTGCTGTATGGGTATTCTATCCAGCTGCATGCCAGAGTTTGGACAGTAGGCATTTTAAAAAAAATAAGTTTTATTAATGCATGTTTAAATATCTCCTTGTCACTTCTCAGTGATTCTTCCTGCCACAAAGAATGCAGCCTTATAACAAAGACGTTCAGTCAAGCAAATGCATTAATATGTTGACTACGCCTTATTGTGTATCTTATTGTCCATGACCTCTCTATTGGGAGGGGACAGGCATGTGTCATTAGCAGTCCTCTGAAGTCATGGATAGCGAACTTTCATCCACTTGGTTTTTCCTGTGTGGATTGTAAAGCCAAATCCTTTTGAAGGATTATGTTTGGAATAGTAGAGAAACCACTGGGAATAAAAACCCCTAGCTTTGACTCCTGGCTCTGATACTTAACAGCTGTGTGATTTTGGGCATGTCAGCCTCTTGGCTTTCCTCATCTGCGGAACTAGGGCATAGATTAGCTACCCTGTCAAGTTCCTTCCTTTTAGGTGTCAATGCATGACCCTCTGATCACTTTGCAGACTTGGCAGTTTTCCAGGGCTTGATGCAATCTACACAATGCCTACTGAAAATAGGGGCCATTGGAAGAATTTCACTGTCAAAAGAGCTTAAAGATTATCATCTGGATCCCGTGCTGGATTGCTTCCATGACAGAGATAAACCACCTTGGCTTCCATTGCCATCCTTGTTACTGTTTCTCTCCCGGGACCATATTTCATACACACATGCATATATGAGTATATACACATACACACACACACACACATATATATACATGTATATATGTATATATATACAACACACACACATATATCCACACATACATATACCATATGCACACACACATAATGCATGTATTTATACTTTAACACACATATGTATATCTACATATAAAACATGCATGTATGCGTAGATATATGTATATGCATGCATATATATACCTATGTCTGTCTATATGTATATGTGTGTATATATCTATATCTATATGTCTATATCTATATCTATATCTATATCTATATCTATATCTATATCTATATCTATATCTATATCTATATCTATATCTATATCTATATCTATATCTATATCTATATCTATATCTATATCTATATCTATATCTATCTACCTATCTCTCTATATATATCTCACACCTTGATGTGGGAAATACTGGAGGTGGACAGACCAGACCAATCAGGAAACCATGATTGGTGAGGGCCTGAACCCCAGTTTCTCTCAACAACCACCCAAGAAGGGAAGAAGGATGAGGACGGTATTACAAAAAGTGAGGAAAGGAATGGATTCAGACAAACTCAGAAGACTTGAATGAATTGATAGAGAAATGGGAGAATAATTTAGGCCTTGACTGTAATCATGTAGAGGAAAGCAACTTTGAAAAGTATAGGAACTCTAGTGAAAGCAATGATCAATCAGGATATGAAAAGAAGCATGCTTCCTACTTTTTAACAGAGAGATGATATCCACGAGAGATCTAAAATAAGGTGGATATTTTAAGACACTGCCAATACATGAATTGTTTTCTTTGACCGTTCTGTTTTGTTACAAGGGAAGACTTTTAGTGTGTGTGTGTGTGTGTGTGTGTGTGTGTGTGTGTGTGTGTGTGTGTGTGTTCATGTGAGGGTGTGCATGTGTGTGTGTAGGCATGAGGGGATAGTGCATGGATAGAAATAGTAGATGTGGAAAAAAAAGAAAAAGAAAAAAGCATCATTGAAACATTTTTAAAAATGCATAGAAGACAGCAGAAAGAATTTCAGAAGCAATACAGGCAAGCAGGTCTGCGTTGTAACTACTATATAGTTATTATTACTATGTATAACTACTGTGTTATAATAGAGTCATAGTTTCAGATACAATCTCTCTGTTCTTCTTTGTACATGTAAATGTTTGTGTTTATTGATGCTTGTTGTTTGTTATATATGTACATATGTATATACAGGTGCACACACATATATGTATATAGTTCAGGCCCTTTCATCTTTCACCTGGCTATTATAATAGCTTCTTTACTGGTGGTGCTGTATGTACAGAGAGGACAGTTGTGAGATATCATAGAGGTAGCATCAATAGGAAGACTTAGCAAGCCACTGGATATGAGGGGGGTAAGAGAAGAGTCGAGGATAAAATTAATATTTAGTCCTGGGTAACTAGGAGTATGTTGGTGTCATAAACAGAAATAGGGACATTAGGAGGAGGGGCATGTTGAAAGAGTGAGCTCAGTTTCAGACACGTTGAGTTTGAGGGTGCCAGTAGGACATTGAAATGGAGAAGTCCATTAGGCAGTTGGGAATGCAAGCCTAAAGCTCAGGGGAGAAATTAGAGCTGGATATAAAAAATTGGAAATTGTCTGCCAAGAATAATTATGGAATCCATGGGAGTAGATGACATTGCTGGGGAAGAGAGGATAGAAAGAGAAGGGAAAAGACTAAGGGCTGTGCTTTGGAGGTTACCCACACTTACGTGTGGGAGAATAAGGTGAATCCATCCATTCATCCATCCATCAATCAATTAATGCAGAAGGAATGGGGGATAGCAGTACCAGAAGGCACAGCAAGGTCAAAGATACTAAGCTCTAAGAGAAGGTCATTAATGGTGTCTAACAATTAAGAGGGCTGGCAACTTTCATAAGAGCAGTGTTATAGTATGATTGTGTTGGAAGCCTAGGCTGCATAGGGTTGATGAATGAGTGGGTAATGAGGAAAGTAGAGGCAATTGAGTATTCACACTGCTTTCTAGCACTTTAGCAGTAGGGGAAGAGAAATAAAGACTGATACCTTCAGGGAACATCAGGGTCAAGGAAATTGTTTTTAGGAAAGAGGAGATCTGAGCATGTTTGTAGGTAGTCAAGAAGGAGTCAGAAGAGAGGGAGATATTGCATTTGGGAGAGAGAAGAAATTATCTTCAGTGTAATTTCCCCAAGGAGACAAGAAGGGGTGGGATTGAGGGCACGAGTGGAAAGATTATGCCTTTTTGAGGATCAGGGTCTTCATTTCTGAAATTAGAGCAAAGGGGAAGATTGGTGAATATCTAAACGTGTTCCATGGAGGTTGAGAGAAGAAAGAGATCATGATGGATGACCTTAATCGTCTGAGTTAAGTAGATGACAAGGCTGTATGCTGAGAGACGAGAGTGATGGTGGTGAAATTGGGATGTTGAGATGGCAGGAGGCTTGGAGCAGTCACTGCACTGAGGGAGGAGTCAATGAAGTCAACAATGGGATTATCAAATCCCGGTTGAGATTGGATAGCACGAATTTGTACGAGGTTGGATAGCAGGATATGCTGAGTGTGGTCTCATTTAGCATCTGGTTGCTTGGATGAAAGGATGGAGAGGATTTCCTAAGGCCACTATGGTGAGAGCAGGGACCATAGAAAGACAAGGAGAAGGCAGGAGATTTGAAGGTAGATGATGGTGCCTTGATGAAATGGCGAACTATAGAGCCAGTACTGAAGAAAGAGAAGTGAAGCCAGAGATGGAATGAGAGACATCATGGTGTACTGGTTAGGGCCTGTAGAGGACTTGGAGTCAAGGTATCTTGGGTTCAAAACCTGCCTCAGA